GCTGTATTAAAAGCTCTTACTCTTCTCTTCCCCCCCCACCTTACTCCATGTGTCTCTCCCTGAATCAGACCAGCCATGTTTCTGTTTCCAGTAACAGTAAATCAGTGCAGGTTGCTAGAGGAGGAGAAGGCGTTTTTCCTCTTCCTATAAAAATGGCAGCACAGCTGCTGTCGTACGAGCAGCACTACCCCTCACGACGCCTTTCCTCAAACCCAGCCTTCTCTTGCCCTTCATCTTTGCAGAAACAGCCACGCAGCTCATGCAGTGGGTTTATTCCCTGCAGAACCGGGAGGTTTTCCCTCTGCAGAGCTCATCTTAACGTCACCTTTAGGAAAGCACCGACTGCAGAACGCCTTGCCGTGCAGCGTGACGGCTCCAGCTATGCTCCATCAGGGCTGTTCGACAGTGGCTGCAAAAGTGATACCAAATCCCTTGATTCTTCTCAGTTCTCCAGCATCTAAGGGTTGTACCTGGGAGCCTGTGTCTTATTCTCACTGCTGGTTTGTAGGGAAGGACTTGGCTTCTGATGAGCGTTTTCCCTGGTTCCTGGGACACGAACTGCTGCCTGCTCCAGGGTCTTGCTGCTTCCTCCGTCCACTGGAGAAACCAGAGCAGCAGCAAGCAGCAACCTGGGCAGTGCTGCTCCACAGGCAGCGTGGTGACGGGCACGGGCAGCCCCAGCCCAGCGCCAGCTCTGTCTCGGCGCGAAAAGGCGAGTGGCCTCCTGGGCCAGCTGGAGCGGGAGCTGCCGCCTGCCAGCGCCGCGCAGGGTGAGCGCTTGTGCGAGCTGGCACAGGCACTGTCCTAAAAGCTTTCTCGTTTGAATAATTGATGCCTCTCGATCCTCAAGAGATGCCCTTAGTGCAAAACTGGTGGTGTGTGTTCGGTTATTTCTATCCTATTTTTAAGTAAGGCTCCGAATCTCCTTTTGCAAGTAGTGTAGCCGAGCGTTGCCGCGGGTGGCGAGTGCCCGTCCCCGGAGGTGACACTTGAATGGCCATAGGGGACTGGAGCTGGGCTGATGCCGCGTGTCCCCAGTGTCGCCCACAGGAGCTCCGTGCTGGGAAGGGGCAGCGTGATGAGGCAGGAGCTTAGTAGGGTTTTCCTTCTCCTGGAGCTCCTGTCCTCAGGAGGAGGCACTTGGGCAGAGGGTGGCATGGGGGAACGTGCTGGTGCTGCCCCAGGGTGAGTGCAAAACCCCTCCGCCCTGTGAGGCTGAGAGGGGGAGGCTGCTGAGGCGAACGAAGAAGAGGAAGAGGCAGAGCTTTCCATGCCGTGGGGGCCAGAGGTCGGGGGAGGCCCAGGCTGAGGGGAGGTCAAGCTGGTGGGGAGGCCATAGAGGGAGTGGAGCAATGAGCAGGAGTGGAGGGTGAGGAGAGGCCAAGAGGCTTTGGGAGGCTGAGCACGAAGAGGAGCCTGGCAGAGAACAGGGGTGGGATGAAAGGCTGAGGGAGGCCGAAGAGGAGGGTGAGGATGAGCAGGAGCAGAGGCTGTGCAAGAATGCAAATGGAGACTGAAGGGTGTAGGAGACAAAAGGCAGGGCGAGAGCAGATGCTAAAAGCCGGTGGGAGGGCAAGAAAGGCTGAGCTGGAACAGAGAGACTGGGGAAAGCTGGTGGAGAGATCTGTCTGCACAAAGATGAGGCCAAAAGGGGGCTGGGAAGGTGAGGAAGGGCTGAGGCTCAGAGCTGGGAAGCCCAGAAGGGTTGGGAGTCTAAGGAAGGGTGGAGGTGGAACAGAGGGTGGGAGTCTGGGGAGCAGCTGAGGGCAGCGAGGGTTGAGGCTGAGCATGTGCATGGGCTAAGGTGGCTTCTGGGGCCAAAAGACTTGGAGGTTTAGAGGAATTGGGATGATAATTATGTCATGGTATTTGGGGCCATGGTGTCAGCTTTAGCCATGGGAACTGATGCCATGAGACTGGAGGCTTTGGAGCAGATTCCAGAGGAGGGAAACGACAGGAGCTGAGGCCGTGGAGGATGATACTATGGAGCTGGAGGCCCCGGGGGGGTGGTGGTGATGTGAGAGGAGATGCCAAGAGGGTCCTCAAGTTGAGAGAGTGGGAGGTAGAGGAGGTATGGAGCAGCAGCGTGCAGGGGGCCGAGGGAGGGTGGGAGGTGGCAAGTGTGGGAGGTGCAGCGGGGGTAGGTCCAGCTGGTGGAGGCTGCTGCTGTCACTGTCCCTGCCCATGGCCTGCTCGTGGCCGGGGTCTGTCTGTTGTTCTCCACGCATGTTGGGAAGCGCTTGCTCTCCCCATCCCACCGGGGCGTGTTGGCCTTCAGGGTTCACCCATCGTGTTCAGGAAACCCATCTGAGCAAAACGAGGCTGCAGTTTTGGAAAGGCTTGTTTTCTCCCCTCGGATGCAAACGCAGCACAACACAGAACTCGTCCCTCGCGCTACCGCGGGATGAGGACTGTGCTGGGCAGAGGGAAGGGATGAAAGGCAGTACTCCGGGATAACGAGATGGAGAATCGCCAGGTTGGTTCCTGGAGCAATTCAAAACAGCAAAACTTTGCCCCACATACCAGCTGCTGGACCAACGAGTGGGCTCTTAGTCCTCACCTTAAATCACCTCTTGCACTTTCCAGTTCTAATGGGTTTCATTTGGTCCTAACACCTTCCTGCTTTGTGACCGGACATCCCTCATGGCACTGGCTTAGTCATGGTCACCCCTCAGGCGGTGCCTCCTTTACTGATAAGAAAACACTGACATTTAAAGAAACACATAATGTGGAGGGGACAGAGTCTGTTATCTGCTCATGCTTTCTCTAGCTGTCTGCTTTCCCAGCACCCATTTTTGCATGTATTGACTCATTTTTATTTTTCCAAGTCTGAAGTTCTAGTTTGAGAAAGTGGAGAGGATGAGCTCCCACCAGGAGTGATTTCTCAACAAGCAAAATATTCCTACACTCTCCTTTAGTGAAAATGAGAACTTGAAGTTATGTATTGAAACCCATGTTTTTCTGCAGGAGCTTTCAAAGCCAGGTCAGATAAAAATCTTCCCTCCAAGCAGCTGTATCTCTGGCTGGTTCGTCACTTTAACCAGCTATTTTGAGTAACCCAGACAAGATGTACGTAAATCCAGTCTTTTAGAAAGTTCTCAGCTGTGAATGAATTTTCACATTTAAACCCAATTCCGTGGGGGTTTTGGTGCCTGTCCCAGCTCCACCCGTGCAGCATCGTGTCCTGTTGTCATCACCCGTGACCTGTCCTCCCCTCCTGAGCAGTGTTGACAGCTGGCAGTGGAGCTTTCCACGTGGTGTCTTACCAAATATTCTGTCCTGTAAAGAAACCTCTGTTAAAGTCAGAGCGGTGACATTCGGGGGACGTTATAACTTCCACGACTGTCTTCTTGGGTCTGAGTCCATCTTTGAGATGCTTACAGCTCTGCTTGTGAACCGCTTGTGTTACACAGTAGAGTTTTCAAGCAGGGAGAGGTGTGCTCTCCATGGGGACCAGTGGACACCCCAGTCTGATCCTGGCTCTGCATCAACACCCTTTACAGAGATGAAATGACGCCGATGGTGGAACCAGGATGAGAAGCCCCAATGAGACATCACTCCCAATGACTGGGACGCACGGAAGAGTCTGCAGAGGTCAAGACGGAGGATGAAGACACTGCTGAACGGGGAGCGACTTCTGTCACTGGGAGTGCACAAGAACAATGAGAATTTTGTTTCCTGAGTGGAAGAAAACAGCGCTGTCTGTAGCCAACAGCTCTGTCTGTTGCCTCCAGCCCTTGGGCACAGACTGTGCCAGGTCCACCGGGCCTGGTAGAAGCTGTTACAGTCACAGGAAACGGAGGGTGAAGCAGCTGTTTTGGGGGCAGAGGGAGCATCCCTCCTGTCTGATCCTGTGTAGGAACGTTCACTACGGTCACACCATGGGCGTCTTCTCTTGTGAAGGAGAGCATATGATTTTGAAGTGGCCATCCTCAGGGCTGGGAATGGCCCCAGCGCTTCCTGTGCTGCATATCCCGGTGTGAGAGGGAGCAGCTCTTTCCCCGATGTGACAGGAGCTGCTGTGACATGGTTTGGTCTCTCGTACAGCAGAGCTGTGTCCAGGGAAGCAGAAGCCACAGGTTTCCACTGGCTCTGGGACCTTGCTACCTGTGGATCCATCACCAACGCTGCCCGCTTCCACCAGCCGATCTGCAAATAGACTGTGTATTAGCTTCAGGGTTTTTAGGAGCAGCTTTTACTGGAGAAACGCTGTACAGTGCTGCGCTAGAGCCTACAAAGAGCCAGTCCTGGAGCCGAGGAGGACATAAACCTCCCACCACTTCCATAAAGCCCACGGCACTGTGTGTCGTATGTAACGCGTCACCTATGTGCTCACACCTGGTCCTGCCGCCCTGGGAGGTGAGATCTGAGGGGGAAATCGGGAAGTGCCTCGAGCAGGAAGGCTGGAGGCTTCGTACTAAAGCAACTGTAATATTTATAATGTCAGATGTAAATCATCTTTTCATTAAATGCTGCTTCTGCAGCACACGCAAGCGCAAGGGTCCCTGTGGCCGTGCGAGGGACCCCCGGTGCTCTGTGGGCCGGATGCGAGCTGTCCAAGGGATCTGCTCCGACATCTGGGATCTGATAAGCCAGGTTAGAACGGGAATCTCAAAAGCACACAGTAAATCTCTCTGGACCTGGCGGCCTCCCTTAAAAGTGGACGTTCAATGTCACCGTGTCCTTCGACCGAAGCCGGTAGGAATGGCTTGAATTATGGTTGTGCGGGCGAGCGACTCCGAGCCACGCACCGGCTCGTGGGCTGCTCCTCTGTCGTTTTTGTCATCCAGCATGGCTGGATGTGAGGTGTGCGTACGTAAACGTGGATGTGTATGCAGAAATAGGAACACGGACCGTTTTATTTTTAAAGGCAGAGGAGGAGGGAGAATAAAAACATCTTTTCTATGCTGGGTTACTGTGTGTTATCCTTTCCCCATCTTTTCTCCCTAAAGCAAAGCCTTGTGAAGCCCCTCTGGTTCCAGGGCTTGATGCTGCAACAGGATTCAGCAGACCAGCAGCAGCATTAGCCTGTTTGAAGGAGTTTGGGTTACCAGGAGTTTGGGTTACCGTGGTTCGTGCCAGGCAGTGCTTCACCCCAAAGCAGCCCCATTGCTGCAATTGCCATGAAAGCCCTGGCTCTTCCTTGGGCAGGTGGTTCATTTGGAAGAGGGTTGGGTTTTTGCAGCTTCTCCTACCCACGGCTCGGCTGCCCTTCGGCCTCTGGATGGAAGCCGGAGAGTTGCTGGTTGATGGTGCAGCTGCAGCCCCTGCGTGGCAGGGGGAAGCTCTGCCTGGGTCTTTGCAAGGGGGTTGCAGTGAAGAATCGGAGCACAGGGGTCCTGTCCTGCTCCTCCTCCAGGCTCAGACTGACCCACCTTGCACATCACTGGCTTTACTTTTCCTCCCTACCCCTGTTAGGAACTGCCTCTACTTTCTGTCCCTGCCAGCAGTACCTGGGAGCCCGTCCACCCCCAGCTCCTCATCCTCTCCCAGCGCAGCCAGCACACACCTTTGGAGGAGTCCTCCCTGCGGTGACAGGTCCCAGCGCTGGCTTGGCAGGGGGCG